ACTGCATTGCCAGGATAGAGAGTTGCATTAAAGTAAGAGTAGCCAAGTTTTGGCTGTCATCGTTTCTTGCTACTTAGTCTACAGGCTGGACTTGAGAAGGAAGGACAGTTCCTATCCCTCTTCTCTTTGGGCATGTTGTCCATGTCCAAGTCTCCTCTCAACTGCTACAGCAGAAAGAATCAGAGAATGGTCAGGGTTGGAAGGGACCTCTGGAGATCATCTAGTCCAACCCTCAAGAAAGAAAGAACGTGAGACGTTTCCAGGACTCCAATACCACAAGCGAAGGGAGGTTCTTCAGAGAGTTCTTGAAACTGTATACTGATACTTTGGTAATTTTTGTTGATGTAAAAATACATACATACATATGTATGTGTAGGTGTGTATATATATATATTTGGAATGTAGCTCAAATCTAAAGCACGGCTGGAGATTTGGGCAGTAGAATACAAGGAGCCATGGGTAGAAGTGTCACTTTGCTCCATGTTGGTGCTCCAAAGGAGGAACTCTTTCCATGGAGAAATGGGGATTTTTCCTGCCTCCTTGGCCTCCCTTGGTATCCTTTTTTTTTGGTTATTCACCCTCTCACCTCCTAAGAGGGGGCTGGTCATCTCTCATGCCACATTCTACTGGCAAACAGTCACAAATACCAAAGAAAAGGTTTCCAATGTCAGCGCTCCACTCCTATTGCGTTCCCCCTGACTTGCCCCTGCGAATTCACATTTGCTGCAAATGCTTATTAAATTAAGAGTTGAATTCTGACAAATATTTAGCCGATTTATAGTGATATTAACAAAATAAGGATTTTTCATTGAAGTACTTTCCAACAAGTATTTACTTGCTATCTAAATGCAACTTGAAGGTCTGTGTTGTGTTTAACAGCAAGGAATTACAACGTTATTAGTATTTCCAAGATAGTATTTCTGCTCTGCGCTGTTGAGCTTTTCTGTGTTGTTAACTGAGTTACTTCAGCGGATACACTTGCAATAACTGTTCTTACTCCAACTGCATCCACTGTGCGTGATTAATCTTTTAACTGTAATCTGTAAGGGCACGTGCCAGAGCAGCAAACCCTTGGAAAAAAGGTACAGTGGCAACAATGAAAATGCTGTATACTAATGGCACCGCTATTTGCACCTGTAACACAATCGGGTTTTGTTGTCAAGAAAAGCACGTCCAGTTTGCATGTATGAATGAAGCAACAAAAATCCCACCATGCTTCATTCTTAAACTCTCACTTGACACAGTGTTTGTGGTTTTTCTAGGCTAATTTAAAGAGAGAGCTATTTGTTATGGGTAAACCTCCTCGTAGCCCAGTGATGACTAAGAGATCCTGCAGCTCACCTCTCCGAGGTCCCACCTATTCCCACAGGGTACGGTACTGGAAGCCCAGTGTGCAAGAACAGCATTTCCATAGATAAAAGGAGCCCAGTGTCCAGTCTTTCAGCATTTTGTTTTTGCCCAAGCGTCTCAAAACTCTCTGTATGCCGTGTTTTTTTTTTTCCTGTTGTGCTTCTGTGCTATGTCTGAGTAAAGCCAACAGGTCTGTGTGTGCCAAAACTTATTTTATAAATCCGTTAGTGTATTGTGTCTCTGCAGTACTGCATAGTATTTCCAGTGCTACAAGATGTAAGAGACCACAGTTCTTTATATTTAGTCTGTTTTTTCCCTAAATTACTCCTCTACTTCAAAGCATTTCTAGTTTATTAAAATTACAGCTTCTAAGAGTAAAAAATTCAGACTTCATTGCACATATACAGGCTGAATTCTTGGGTTTGAATCCATGTCCTTCTTTTCAAACTGTTTTGTTGCTGCTTTATTATGTTCACTCAATACTGTGCTCTTCAGCCAAGCCCTGTTATTCCAGACTGTCATATTCTTTAGCCTTTCCCTTCATATCTGTAGTACAACAGTAACATAGCTGTAACAATTTTACCTAGCCAGAAAGTTAGGTTGTTTAGAGTTTGCATGTGTTTCACTCAAAAAGCTGATCTAAATTATGAAAAAAAATCCCCAAACCCAAACCAAACCAATAACAACAAAGAAACCCCACCCTAAACTCTATGAGAATGAGACTTTATGGGTTATGTTCTACTTTCAGTTTCAGTCTAAATTGTTCTTTGCATTGGTTTCCTAACATTTGGTTCTTAAAAGTGATAACGGGATGAACCGTATTCCATGCTGGTGATTTTATGTTACCATCTATCTGGTGGCTCCCTTTTTAAAATTTGAATTTTAATTTAAGATATGCAGGTTTCTGGAATTTTTCAAAGTCTTGGCTTTTTGGCAGGCCTCTGTTTGCTACCAGGTATGAGGGACAGTGCTTCATTACTGAAGAGAGACTGAATTTCAATGACAGGAAGGCCAGGATTCTTGTAGTAGCGGATCAACACCATCCCAAAGAAAGTCCAACTGGGAATAAGATCCAGAAAAAAAAAAAAAGGATTAAGCCCTGTTTTATTTTTTTATGTTACTCCAAATGAACGGTGGGTAATCAATATATTGAGAGGACTGTATTGGTCAATTTTTAGTGCATTTATGCCTTTAATTCCAAAACCACAAGAGCACAAATTGTACATGTCATTTGCATGTGCAGGGCTATACAGAACTGCTATTTCCAAGCCCATATGAATCATGCATGAACATCAGGGGTACAACTGGGACCACTGACTTGACTGCACACTTTTTAATGTTTTGGGGATTAGGCTCTACAATTTTTCCCAGGAAACAGGATAGTGTAGTGAACTGAGCTGTAGGTGGAAACCAGAAATCCGAAGCACCAAGGGCTCCCCACAGGGTGATGCATTTCATGGTATCTCTTGAGCACAACGAGCCAAACCTTGCAACGGTCCCCATTCTAGCCAACGCCACTGTACGTGGGAATGAGAGCTTAGGGAAAG